CGATGCTTGGACTGACTCTTGCCTCTACCACGGTTGCTTCCTCTTTCATTCCTTCTTCCTCTGCCTTCAGTACTCAACAGTGCACTCGAAGAATCCCCTGAACTTCTGCGTCTGATGTCTTCACCTAGAATCAAGTCCCGAATTCCTTCAAAAGTAAACTTAGTAGTACCAGATGCACTACTAACTGCAGTCACTGTTCCAGACGAACTGGGCAAAGAAGATAAAAGCAGCAACGCCTGAAGTTTACCATCAAACTTAATTCCAACTGATCCTAACCGAGTTATGACCGAATTAAACTGGTTGATGTGAATGGTAACTGAAGCACCCTCCCTCATTCTGGTGTTAACCAACTGTCTGATCAAAAACACCTTGTTCAATGCTGAGGGTTTCTCGTACATATTCGACAAAGCTTTCATTAACCCATGCGTAGTTGTTTCATTGACTATGTTGAAAGCAACACTCTTCGCCAATGACAACCTAACCACTCCCAAAGCTTTCCTGTCCAAAATCGCCCAATCTGCATCACTCATTTTTTCTGGCTTTTCTCCTGATAACGTTTGGTATAAGTCTTTCTGATAAAGAACATCCTCGATTTGCATCTTCCAAAACCCAAAATCACTTCCATCAAACTTTTCAATCTTTATCTTTTCATCTGCCATTGTTTCCATACACGCCTGAAAAACTGATCTGAGATTGAAAAAACCAATAACGAACTAACCTTGGCAGCGGCTATTTGGAACCCTAGCAGCGGCGGCTAAACAAAACCCTAGCAGCAGCGGCTGTTCACAACGGCGGCGCGGTTACTGTTCACAAGACAGTACAGACCGTATTCTGCAGCGGAAACTATGACGGTGGCGGAACTGATCTTCAAAACCCTAATCTTCGATTTGAACCTGATCTCCACAAACCCGAGGGAAGACTTCAACGATCACGAGCCTAAGGCTCCGATACCAGTTGTTGGGGTATATGAATACTGAATAGCAAACCACAACCAAACAAGAACACACACAAAACAGAAATCAAAACGGAGAAAACGGAACACAAGATTTATAGTGGTTCGGTCGGCTAACCTAATCCACTTTGCAACTAGGGTTTTTATTATCCAGGTGCTCACAGAATTACAAGTACAGAGATCCCTATTTATGAAGACTAAACTATGGTTGAAAACTTAATCCCCAAGTTAGGCCCAAGCCCACATAGAGAATTAGGGCCGGCTAAATTAAAAACCTAATTTACTGCCATATGGGTCGAACCAAGACTAGGGCCGGCTGCCCTTCCTGGTCGAGCCTCCACACTCAATTCGCCCAACACAACCCTCTTTCTAGGTGTAAGGAAAACACTATATCATTAAAAGTTTTGCTCCAAAACATAATATAAAATATAACTAAAGAAAAAAATTACCACTTCCACTGGTTCCTACAATAGCAACACTTCTTCCAGCGGGCACACTAAAAGATATCCCATCGAGAATCTTTCTATCTGTCAAATAACTTTGACAAAGGAACAAAATATACAAAAATCAGAACATATATTTCACGTGACTTTAATGCTTGAGTGTTGGCCTGACAATTAACTGGAACAGTCGTATACACACATTAGGATGTCAGGCCTGTTGATTTGGTTGCTCAGTCATGAACATAATTGCTCAGTTAAATTCACACAATGACTGTGAACCCAAAATGTACAAGATCATTCCAAGAAAACTTAAAGAGAAAACAATTAAACACTCTTACTGCTTTTCTAAGGTCCTGTTCTTTTGAGTTGGAAAAATTGACTTCCAACTCCTTCCAACTCTTTCCAGTTTCTTCCAACTCCTTGCAGTTCCTTCTAACTCCTTCCAGTTTCTTCCAATGACGACTTAAAAAAGTATTTATATATGATTAATATAAATTAACATTATATATCCAAATTTATAACATATCACCTCAAACACGGACAGTGATGAATTGTTTTTTATCCAAAATTATAGTTTTCTCACATATTTATTTAATTGAGTGACTTTTTAACACTTAAATTCTTCCAACATTTCCAACGCCTTCCAATTTCTTCCAACATCCAATTCTGAAATTCCAACCCAAAAGAATAGGGCCTAAACAATGGCCATTTGTGTTCCATGGTTTAAAAAAACAGATTGGATATTTTGAAATCAACCTGAAGTGAACACTGTCAAACTCAATGCTACCCCCATGTAACTTCAGAGCCTTGGCATTATCTATGTCTCTTACTTCAGCCCTCTCCTGTGTCAATCATAATTATAGTTTGTAAAGCACCAAGAAAATAAGCACACAATTTATATGCCATATGTGTGTACACTGCAAAAGCAGTAAAGAAAGAATGGAAAGATACCTCTAGTAACTGAAACATAGCTTTCATGTCAACCAAACTCTGGACAGTCTCTCTGTATACACTGCCAAGGAAGTTGAGTGGAAGAGAAAGTTGGAACAAGAGGCCATTAACCATAACCTGCACTCCATGGGTGAAAAATGATAAGTCTAAAAGTAGGGGTCATAACAAGGCAAAGAAATTTGACCAAAACAATAACTTGTGGAGAATCAGCATACCAGGTCGCCTACTGTCATTGTACCATTCATTATTCCATTAGAGCATAACACCATAGCAGCAGAAAGAGCTGTACTAAATATTGCATTTTGCCCAAAGTTCAGAAGTGCAAGACTACGTTGTGTTTTTAAAGCAGCATCTTCATATCCTGAAATTAAAATATATAAGAAAAGAGAGAAAAACAATTTCTACAGTCATTCTCGCGTTAGAGCTTGGGGTTCTAAATAATTCATAAACATCGAATTTAAAAAATACAGAAATGTGTTTCCTTATATGGAAATAATAATAAATCATGTGATTCACTCAAATAAAAGTTGCATATGATGTAGGACAAACATACTACTCATACCTGTTACTCCGTATATTCTTATAGTATCATATATAAGTCACATACTCACATATCCATCATGTTTAAGTTTCAAACATTTCTTGCAATCAGGTTTAGCAATTAAACGTGATTCACAGTTTACTGGTTAAGACAAGCTCTGTCTGTCATAACCTTATTACCTTATTCTACCAAATAACCACAGATGCTAGATGTCAATGGATATGACTATGTTGCCTTTTGTATAACAGGGCTACATAAGAGTTTATGGTGCATTTTAATAAGCAAGGTAATCTCTAGACAACTTACAACATGTGAACAGAAGGAAGTTATATAGAGTTAATAGGCTTACTTTTCAAAAACTCATCGTATTTGTCAACTTCATAAGCCTCGTTGTTAAAATACTTCACCGTCTGAAAGATAATACAAATGTTATTTTCTGGGAAAATGATGTCTATGGCCTATGATAAGTAGAAAATTTACCAAGTCATGGAAAGCAGAGTATTCATGATATAATTCATATTACCTCATAATTAATGAGGGAATCAACAGCCCTTGTACTTGCATCATTATCAGCTTTATTCATCTCCTTTCTAAACTTAGTTCGCCACTATAAATCAATTCAAGGACAGATAATGTTTACTCAAAAGATAATGGAACTCAGAACAAGAAATCCCTAACAGATTAGTAGAGAACACCTCAACATGTGAGCATGTTCCATCCGTGCATTAGTGAAATATATGAAAACATGGAGCATATGCAGTATTCTAGAACATAAACATGATGTTCGAAGAAAACAAAAAATACAGCATGGAACAGAGTACAGACAAAGTCAGAAATCTACGTCTACAAAACATCCAAAAAAAATTCAAATAGTTGAGAGCTGCAATTTCTTAAAATAAATCCAGGAAAATCTCCCATTTATACATGGTATCATAAAATACTACCATAAGTCCATAATGCAAATTAAGAGAAAGCTTATAAATCAATACTTCAAACACTTTTGTGGTGTATGGTAATGGTGTAAATGAAATATCGGAGTAATATCCAACAAAAAAACAGTTTACTCCACGTGCTTGAGAAAATTTTTTCCATCAAATCAAAAGCAATGAAATATCCTTTATATATATAAAGCAGACTCGGAGTTGCAAGAAGGCGACATTTGGCAGAGCTATAATGTGACATTTGGCGGAGCTATAGTGCGACATGTGGCGGAGCTGATGTGTCGCCTTCTTAAAGAACTAATTGTGTGATGGCAAGCTTAGGTGGCAGAGAATAAATCCATCCATAAAAGGAAAATGCAAAATAAAGAAGTAATCCATGGAATATGCATACACTACTTTCATCTTCTTCGGAAATTTCTTTAAAAAGAAAACGAACAAATATAAAATGATTTTTTATTACTTTTAAAAATAAAAATATATGTTTGGGTTTTGAATTGCGTATTCACGATCTCAATAAAAAGTAAAAATTTGGGACTGGAACTACGCAAAATAATAATAATAATAATAATAATAATAATAACTAACATTTAAAAACTAACATTTAAAGAATTAGTTTCCTAATTTGAAAAAAAAAAAATTTTAAACGAAATTGATTTTTATTGGCATGTTTATTTAAGAGAGTATTAATAACATTTCATACACAATAAAAAAAATTTAGGTCTAAAAAAATTATGCTCCATTTTAAAATTAGTATTGTGTATTTTAAAATTTAAGTTTTATATTATTAAATGGTACACACTTTGTTTATAGAGAAATACATAGAATTTGGAGTATAATAAAAGTTATTAATGAAGAAAAGGTATAAAATGTTTAATATTTACGTGCTTAAAAGTGATACTACAAATATTAAATCTTTATATATAAAATTTAAGAGTCGGCTTCCAAAATTACATGTAGCATGTTTTGTAGACAATTTTTTTAAACATGTCCGCAATCATACATTGACTCGAACTTTTCTTATTATATTCCTTGGAATTTCCTTATTGTGTATTTAAAACTAATTTAAAAAATTAACGATACTCAAATGGTTTTATATTTTTTGATAGACAAATGTTTTTTCATAAAAAAAAGAAAATTAAAAAATATAAATTTGATTTTTAAAAAATTCTAAAAAAATAAAAATGTAAAATTAAATTTCGAACAATGTTTTCACAACATCAACAAAAACAATATAAACTAAGGATTGGAACTACGTATAATAAAAATCATAATAATAAATAGTAGTAGTATCTAATATTTAAAGCATTCGTTTCCTATTTTGAAAAAGAAAGAGAAGTATATAAAAGGAAAAGGACTTTTATTAGCATGTAATATAATGGAGCATTAATAATATTCCATATAGAGTAAAACAATTCTAATTCTAATAAAAGTTATGCTTTAAAAATAGTGTTTTCCTAACTTTTCCAATTTAAAATTTAATTGTTATATTCTTATACGGTACAAGCTTTACTTATAAAAAATACATAGAATTTGGACATTATAATAAGAGTTATTAATGAATAAAAGGTATAAAAATGCTTAATATTTACACACTTAAAGGTAATAGTACAAATATAAAAAGGAAAAAAAGTAATACGTGATCCTGAATGCCTTTTTATTACTCCGTATAACATATGCCTTATTTATTTTCACATGCAAAAAAAATCAACTTTGAGCTTAGCAATAATCTCCGAGAGAGGAAATTGTAGGCACCATCGTGAATTCCTCAAAATTATGGTCATATTGTAAAGTTTATACGTTGACCAAGAATATGATATTACATTCATCTACATCTGCTTGCGCACATAAAGACATACAAGCTTTTTTGATATGATAATCAAAATTGGATAGAGAAAGTTTGGACAAGTGATTGATGGAACTGGTGACATTGAAATTTCACCTAAATTCTTGATTTTAGACACAACAAAGTTATCCCCTCAAGAGTATAGTGGACTTCACTTATCCGAACCTATTGGAGAGTATGAAAACTTATTCTTTTTTTTAGAATAGGGCACTACTGACACCCGCGTTCGAGGTTGTAGAAATGATAAATGAACTTGTGTTATCCCTCATTCTAAGAGATAAAATGGAGTACTTGACTTATGATTCCACATGTCAGACAGGTTCAAATGTAAGTGTTGATGGAGGATAAACAACATTTTAATTTTTGAATGAAATCGAATTTTAAAAAATCCCAACTCACAAAATTGTTTTAAAAAAGGGGGTACCGATTATGTTATTGAATAACATTGGCCAAACATTTGGATTGTATAGTGGTAAAAGATTAATCGTTGACGAGCTGCAAAAGAACACCAACGGTGCTACTATTGTTTTGGGAAATTGAGTTAGAGAAAAAGTTTACATACCCCAAATAAATTTGGTACCATCAAACCCAATAGCCTTATGTTTTGCTATGACTATCAACAAAAGTCAAGGTCAAACATTATCTTTTGTTGAATTATTTTTAACCAAATCAATGTCCACTCATGATCAGCTTTATATTACTGTTTCATAACTGAACACAAAGACAAGAATAAAAATATTGATTCGTGATGTCAATGGAAACTCTTGAAACCATACCAAAAATATTGTATACCTTAAAATCTTTTAGAAAATTTGGTATTGAATAAACTTTGTTGAGTACATATTTAATTCCTCAAATATTATTTATTCAATTTTGTCATTTTTTATAGTATTAAAGATTATGTGAGAAATCTATTTTCTTTATTCCGAAAAAAATATTAAGCTAAAAATTTTCAGAATCGAAATAAATTCGTTCGATCCCGTGCGCAGCACGGGTTAAAATACAGTAATATCCAACAAAAGGTTACCTGTGTCACTGACAATGTGAAAGCAACATATGCAGCAACAGACAGAGAAGTGATCCAGGCAAATGGTGCTCCAAATTTGTAAGCAAGTATACCTGATACCATAGAAATCTGAAAGGCTTCATGTTAAATCTGCATAGATAACAATCAAAATCCTAGAGACTTAACTAACACAACTTCATTTCTCAAAAATTGATGGTTTGTTAGAAGCATGCATACCTCTAATATTGTTGGAACAACATTAAAGACCATAGACGAAAGAATGAAATTAATAGCACGGCTACCACGATCTATGATCCGGTTTAGCCCACCAGTTTCTCGACTGTGTTATGAAAAAGAAAATAAAAGAGTTGAAAATATTTGAAACATGACATAACCAAGTACACCAGAGAAAAATAAGAGTAAAAAATATTTAGCAAATGCATATCTCAAATCAATCAACAAACATGCCCAGTTCAATTAACAAGAACCCACTGCAAGCCCCAAACAAATGGGGACTAAGATATACCTCAAGTCCTCAGCAAGATACTCCCTAAGTAAAAACAAACTTGTTTTTTAATCGTTTTTCTCTTTTGACCATCTCAAAAACATGTGTATGTTTCTATATTTGGAAAGTTTTGTGTGGATCACAATGTTTTTGTTTCACTCATCTACATGAATTTCGAACACACCATGTTCACATTATTAAAAGATTGTGCCCAATCAAAATAGGCACATCTTTTTGGGATGGAGGGATTACCTTCTGGTGAGGTTAGGTCGTTAGGAAACCCCTAACTACTTGGTCAAGGCCTTGGCATCAAGGACATCACCTTTGAGCAATGCCCAAAGGCTTATCATGATATCACATTCTAATGGGAATACTATAGCCCCTTGGAAATGTTTGACTTTATTGTACAAACTACTCAGCATATGTTACTCAGGTTAGTCAGGTATACAAGCTCCCTTTACTATAGTGTTAGATACAGTATATTAGGATAGTCTGACCAGCGCAATTCTGGGGGGAAATTGACCTCTCACAGATAGAAAAACCTCCAAAATCCAAATTTCTACTTAGCATCTTAAAACGTTCTCTTCTGGTAAAAAAAATATGCCCCACACCATAAGTTAAATATTTAAAGATGTGAAGATGCTTTAAGTTAATACCTGAGGTGGTAGTTAAGATCAAGCTCATGCAAATGTGAAAAGACCTGCAAAGGTTGAGGTCTGTTATGTGTCAGCATTCAAAACAATATAAACATCACTAAAAGTAATCAAACAAGCATACTCAAGAGGATTTCAAAATCAGATATAATTGGTATGCCAATAAAGCTCAAGGCCAATAAGTCAATGTATCTACTGACAACAATGAAAAGATAAGTTAAAAACATGATAGTGATGGTTCAAACCACTGATGCTATCACAACTTGTGCCTACACTCTTTATGCAATTAATCTCTTCCCCACTAAACTTTCAAAAGAAAATTGTACAGGAGTAACTTTTTTGTAGATGATGCAATCTTAATCCGCAAAACTAACTGATATGAAAAGGGAGAGAGGGAAATTTGGTGTATACCTTTCTAGAAACAGATCGGATTGTTCGAAGTGCAACCTTAGAGAAAACTGCTGTTCGCAATTCTGAAGCATTTATAAAATGTAACAGGAATTAAATTAACAAAAGAGCATAAAAGGAACCAAAGACTCAAACTTTGGTAAGTGTTAATCAGAAAAATAATATTCTCAGTAAAAACTGATAAAAGAAAAAGAGTACCGTTAAAAGCAGATGCACATGACCGTGCTATCCCATATCCGATCAAAACTGCAGCTGGACTTGCAAAAAGGGCTAAAAAGGTTGAATTGGCAGCAGTAAACTGAGCAAGTGTGCTTGCGTTTCCAGTAGCTGTAGTTAACCCATCAACGGCAAGCTTAAACAGGAAAGGAACTTGAACATTCAATACCTGTACATGGAAAAAAACAGATTTACCAGACATTAAGCCAAGCTGTATTTTCAAACCTTTCCTGTCTCATCTAAGAGCAGTATAGCATACCTTGGCCCCAACTAAGAAACCCAACGCCGCAACCACTCTCAGTCGGAACTCCACATTATCCTTCATCCAGATGCTTTTTGCTAGAGTGGTTATAATTTTCATGTCAGTTATCTGATTGCTCGGTCCTCCTTTGACGAACTTCCTTGACTGTTCTTGCTTAACCGGAAGTTTTTTGCCAAATTCTCCCCCATCTGTAGAAAACATTGCATACCCATTGGGCAGACGAACCTTACACCCCCAAATCCCCAGTAAGCACAAAACACAAAACACAAAATTTCAGAAGCTTTAGAATCTCAAACAATATCTGCATATGCGCAACAATGTATGTACAGCAGAAATCACCGGAGACGGAGGTAGAAGAATTACAGGGTTTGGGGGATTTTTGGAGGGAGAATCGGAGAGAAAGGCGTTGACTTGTCTCAACGAGAAGCGGCTGGCGGTTCTTGAAGGCAGCCGCATGAATCGATTAGTGGAAAATTGGTGTCGATTGAAGTGGCCAATGCGAAGAGAAGTGCCGCCATTGAGTGACTGGAGATGCATCGAGCGGAAGGGAGAGTGATTCAGAGTAAAGGAGTAGTTTGATTTGGGGAAGAAGAGCTTGCTAGCCCTAAGACACCTCGAGGCTATCGTCCCCTGCATTCCTGCTTGAATCTTCTCAATGAACTGTGGAAGCCTATAGATAAATTAGCCCAAGTACGGAGTCCAATTCCTGGGAAGCAATCAAATTGATTGCTCGGGTGCGTTTGGGGGAAGTGAGGGAAACCCCTAGAACGTAAATCGGGTCAGATTCAGAGACGGCATGCACAAGAGTACATTCCATGGGGCATGGCCCTTTTGTGTAAATGTGATTTTGGGGTAGCCCATGATTTACCCACTTTTTATTAATTAAATTTCTGAAAAGATACTTAATACTACCTCGGTTCCACCTTGTGGTGATTTTGTTTTCTTTAAAAAAAATCTACACCATCAAGATTTGAACTCTGAACTTCAAGCTCAAGCTCTAACATTTCCGTCCAACTGCACTACTAGAGTTGGTTGTTCTTTGTGTATAACTATTTTTATATATTCATTGCACAACCTTCATTTTAGGATGGCACCTAACTAATATATATTTGTAGAAAACTTTCAAAATTTTAACAAGATAGTTACTTTAAAAAATAGAGATATGTTTGTGTAAGGTTCTTAGTTTAGGAATTTTCAAAATAATTTTTATAATAAAGAAATGAACATTATTTTTTTGTATTTTTTATTTCAATAAACTTAAAATTCTAAAACATTAATAAAGGTTATAAAAATTAAAATTTGAAAGTGTGAAAGAGTACTATATGAAAAATGATATTAAAAACTAGGTGGAGAAGAAAAAAAGAAACTTAAATACTTTTATTGTGTAAAAATATGTATATTAATTAATTAAAAATATTAATATACTAAAAATATTTTTATTTTAATTACAATTGACCGAGTCGTTGACCCAGCTCAACCCGGTCCGACCGGTTAACTCTTGACCCAAATGCTCGTCCGAGTCGATGTCCGGTCTAGTTTTCAGAACATTGGTAAAGAGAATGAAATTGAAATTCCAAAAATTACGGTCTTTCTATGCGATCTTTCTTCTTCGAAGGAAACTCTTTCATTACCCTTCTTCTTGTTGGAAAATATCCCTTCTACATAGAGGAAGTGTCAAATTTTAATTGGACAACACTTTACATATCTATCTTTTTCTATTTGGGCTTATTTTCGTGTAAAACTTTAACCCAAATGTTTTTTGGTGGCCAATTCTCTTGTGTTGTGTGGCTACTAACTAAAGAAGAAGAAAAAAGGTTAGTAGAGTGTGTGAAGGCAGTAGCTACACAAGAGGGAAAAAGGCAGTAGCAAAACGCAGAGAGAAAAGAAGAAAAAACAGAATTTTCGTCACTATGTGCAGCAGCAACTTTTTACCTCTGGATCGAAGGCCAAACGAAGTCCGATCGTGCTCAAATTTTAGTATGTTGTTCCTCACATACTCCTCTTCAAATCCAACGCTCAGTTTCTTGTTTTGATGCCCGAAAGGCTATTTTCTGGCTGCGTTTTTGGGGGTTTTTACTCCATTTTGGATAAATTGTTGATTGTTGTTGTTCCAAGGTTGTTCCTAGATGATTGTGTGTGCCTCTAGTGTTTACTAGAGAGGAGAACTTGTTGTACCCACTTGGTTCTTGGTGATTAGTGGAAGTTTGGGTGCCGTCAATGAGCGGTCGTGGTTTTCTCCCCGATTTGAGGTTTCCACGTAAATCGTGTGTTCTTTACTTTATTTCCGTTGGTATTTATTTGTGGTGGTGGTGCTGATTTTTGGAGTATATAGTGCTTTGATGTTCATCTCATTTATTTGGGGAAAAGATTTTATACGCTTCCGTTGTGTTTTGTTCCGTGCTTCCCCAACAAAGTGGTATCAGAGCTTGATTATTTTTTGGTTGGCTTCTTGTGTTGTTTATGATGGATGACAAAGTAATTGTTCAAGGAATGGTTAACTTGGACTCTGCGAATTATTCAATTTGGAAAATTCGTATTGAAGATTATTTATGCTCTAAAGATTTGCTTGACCCAATTTTGTATAAAGAACGTCCAACAGGTGTTGATGAGAAAGCTTGGACTACCTTGAACCAGAAAGCTATTGCATCAATAAGACAATATGTTTCTTTAAGTGTGTTGCAACATGTTGCTAATGAAACTAATGCTTTTGAGATGTGGAAGAAACTTGAATCCATGTACGAGAGGAACAATGCTATGAGAAAAGCTTCTTTGATTAGGAAGCTTGTTAAATTGCAATACAAAGATGGTGATAGCATTGTGGTTCACATGAACGAGTTTCAAGGTGTGGTAAACCAACTAGCCGGAACGAAGATGAAATTGGAGGATGAACTTCAAGCTTTGTTGTTGCTTTCCTCATTGCCCGACAGTTGGGATACATTGGTGGTTTCACTTAGCAACTCTGCTCCAGATGGCAAGATGACTATGGAGATGGTCAAGGCTAGTCTTTTGAATGAAGACGCTATGAGGAAAGAATCAAGCTACCCTAGCCAAGCCGAAGAAAATGTGATTCTAGAATCTAGTAGGGGGAGAAGCAAGAGCAGAAATCCTCATTACAGTGACAAGTCCAGGGGAGATCCAAATCCAGAAAAAGAGATTTCATTTGCCATTATTGTCAGAAGCCGGGTCACATTGAGAGATTCTGCAGAAAGAAAAAGAGGGATATGTCCAGGGAGAAAAGAGATAAAAATGAGAGTCCCGAGCAGAAGCCAAAAGAGAAGAACACTACAGCCTTGGCATCTAGTGATGATAATTTGTTTGTTATTAGTGACCATGGACTATTAAATGTAGCCTGTGAAGACTGCACCTGGGTGATTGATTCTGGTGCATCTTATCATATTACTTCACACAGTGAGTACTTCTCATCTTATACTGGTGGTGATTTTTGCCATGTGAGGATGGGAAATGATGGTTCGTCTAAGATCATCGGTATGGGTGATGTTTGTTTAAAGACTTCCACTGGTTGCAGGTTGGTGCTCAGGGATGTGAGGCACGTCCTAGATATCATATTGAGTTTGATTTTAGCTGGTCTGCTTGATGATGAAGGTTATGCCAACAAATTTTGTGATGGAAGATGGAAACTCTCCAGGGGCAGTTTGATTATGGCTCGAGGTAAGAAGCAGAATTCGCTTTATGTTATGCAGGCCAGAGTATGTAGCGGAGATGCCAATGTAGCAGATGATGCCTCCGGTGATTTGTGGCATAAGAGACTTGGCCACATGAGTCAAAAGGGTATGCAGATCCTTTCCAGGAAAGATTATCTACCCGACATTTCAAGTATGCCTTTAAACTCTTGTGTTGATTGTTTAGCTGGAAAACAACATAGAGTTGCATTTCATACTCGTCCCCCACATAGAAGAAAGCATGTTTTAGATCTTGTTCATACTGATGTTTGCTCCATGGATGCTAAATCACATCGTGGTGCACAATATTTTGTGACTTTTATTGATGATTTTTCTAGAAAAGTGTGGACTTTTGTTTTGAAAAATAAAGACCGGGTACTTGAAGCTTTTAAGGAGTTTCATGCCAGAGTTGAAAGAGAAAGTGGCAGAAAGCTCAAATGTGTCAGATCAGACAATGGTGGCGAGTACAGGGGTCCATTTGAGAACTATTGCAAAAGTCAGGGCATCAAGCTTTAGAAGATAGTTCCGAAGAAACCTCTGCGTTTTTGGGGGTTTTTACTCCATTTTGGATAAATTGTTGATTGTTGTTGTTCCAAGGTTGTTCCTTGATGATTGTGTGTGCCTCTAGTGTTTACTAGAGAGGAGAACTTGTTGTACCCACTTGGTTCTTGGTGATTAGTGGAAGTTTGGGTGCCGATTTGGGGTTTCCACGTAAATCGTGTGTTCTTTACTTTATTTCTGTTGCTATTTATTTGTGGTGGTGCTGCTGATTTTTGGAGTATATAGTGCTTTGCTGTTCATCTCATTTATTTGGGGAAAAGATTTTATACGCTTCCGTTGTGTTTTGTTCCGTGCTTCCCCAACACTTCTTACGGTATTTCTTCATCGCAAGAAACTCCAAAAATTTCTTCATCACTAATTCTCTAAGTCTTCTCTGCTTTGCCAGAAACACGAATACCATAGCTACTCATCCAATCTTCTAGCTTATTTGAGATCCAAAATACCAAAATTGAGATTCGAGATTCAATATGAAAATTTGCACGGGTGCTGCGATCAGTGTTACATGGTGTGTTTTGATTTTCATATTCAATTGTTATTCTTCCTCAATTTAATTGTGCATATTCAATTTATATTGTTTTTCAGTATATCTTAATTAGCTACATATTCCTTGATTGTTTTTCTTTTGGTAAGTGCGAATATAATTGTTTCCATTCATCATTTTATTTATTGACGCTCTTATATTTCATGTTGTTATGATGGATTGATGATTTTATCTTTCCTATAGTTCATAGGTTCATTAGGTTGGGTCTTGATTTTCAATTTTGCAGAAATATCATATTAATTTCAAGAAAGATCAAGAATGTTCAATTGATTTATCTTATGGTCCGAACATGACAAAATATTCTATGAAGCCAGATTTCATTACTTTCTAATGGAACAACTTGGCTTATAATTTTTGGGATGATTCAAGATACTATAAACCAATGAGGAACAGTGCATGTAGTGAGCATGAAACAACTAATGAAATTATGGCATTTTGATAAGATGAAAACTCAGTTGAAAGACACTGAGTTCTAAATTGAAATCTATGTTGTATTTGATTCTCTAGAAAACAGGGTTAACTGCTAAGTGATGGACATAGAAATTGCTCGGAGTCACAATTAGATAGTTCATTATGTTGTTCATGTTGGTATGTGTACATTTTCGTCATCCTAATAGTGTTAACTTCAATGGGGAAAACATTTTTTTAAAAATCAACGGTGTGGGAAAAACATACTCCCTCCAACCCAAATAAACCTTTTTGTTTTAATTTTTTTGTCAAACTTTGAAAATCTTTGATTACAAATTAACATAATTTAAAAAAATAAATGTTATAAAATTTATATATCAAAAGTATATTCTTAGATAGACCCAATTTTCTTAAAGTGAAATTAATTGTGAAAGTTTGGCATGGCTTTTTGTAAATGCTCAAGATTTTGGGGCCGAAGGAGTATTTATTTAAGGAAGTATTGAATTCTGAATATAATCATGTAAATTTTTATGGGCACTCAATATTTTATTTTAATATAAATTGCTTTCCTAAATTAGTTTCTTTCCTAAATTTATGTTTGAATTCTTCTTCCCCAATTCTATCGTGCATACCATCTTCAATTGATCAATTCTTCCGTAACTCTTTAATTCATTGATTCTATATTGCCTCACATATTTTTTGGTAAGTTTCCATGACTTATATATATAATTTACTCCACGACTTATACAGTTTATTTACTCCAATATTATACTATCAAATAATTAGCGATTCCTCTCAATATTATACTATCATATAATTAGTGCATTATTTTTACTTTTCCCATGGAAAAAAATGTCAAGCATATACTCCTCCCAAATGGTTAGGGTTCTTATTTCTTGACAATTTTTATAAACAAACATAAAAAAATGCCCTGCTGCTATTGCTACTGATAGACAAAAGGATTTGTTGAAAAGAGCATGCACAAACAGAGGCTAAAGACAAAGATGCTTTGTTCAGTATCCTGGAAAGCTTAGTAAAAAACAAATGGCATTAGTTTTTTTAACACAGAAAATTTGGGATTTGTACCGGTATTGTAACCACTATCCTGCAAAGGCCTTTGTTCAGGTCTTTTGCCAGTGATAGAGCAGAGAGGCATTGACTAACATGTCTGGAGAGAAATGTATCACTTTGATGAATTTGCAAAGGCATGCACGAGGATAAATGTTTATGATCTTCTTCTACATCGTGTCTATTTGAAAATGCATTGAGAAATTAGAAAAAATGACTGAATAGTTGTATATATGTATGTATGTGTATCTTGGTGTTTTTAGCAAAGTGGTGGGTTCCCAAAACCTGATATTATTCCTATGATAAATTGAAATCTTTGTATGAGTAAATTATTTGGAAATGAATTCACTGCCAAAACGAAGCATACCTGTATCTTCTTCAATCGTTTGCTTAGAGGAATCTCATCATTGCTTGCCATTGAAACCTTGTCTCCTTCCCGAAGCTGCTGCGTTGGGCCGTGTGAAGCTTGAAGCTTGGCCGCCAATTACTTCAGTAATATTGCGTTCCCAAAGCTGCTGCGTTCGGTCTCCTTCGGTGATATTGCGTGAAGCTTGGCTGCCAATTACTTTTTCTTAACCTCATTTAGTATAATTCAATTTTGGGTGTTTATTTAAGGACAAAATCAGAAATTCATCCCAAAAACTAATAACACTGCTATTTTGAGTGTTATAAGGCTATTAGAGTGCTATTTTCATATTTCTCCCTTTAAAATTTAGTAAGTTAAATTTACTAAACTCATCCCAAATTATGAAAATAATACATTCCAATGCATTGCACGAGTGGAGGCATTACGTTGTGCAGTAACCATCCAAAAAAAATCATAAGTTCACGGATAGAAAAATGAGCCACTGTTGTAACTGTGACCTTATTGCGTTATCATCATCGAATATAAATATTACATCATTTCTAACCTCGAGCCTTAGTAATATTATTCTTTGGTGAAAAATTGTTAGGGTATATAACAATCATTCCTGGGCCAAAACCACAAGCTTGCGCTTTTGGTTGAGTTGGTTCCTTGACATGGTATCGCAGCCTTGATGACCAAGAGGTCACGAGTTCGAAACTCACCGCCACCCAGTTTAAAAAATTAAGGTTACACGTGCAAGACTCAAAAAGGTCACACCTGCACGTGAGGGGGCGTGTTAGGGTATATAACAATCATTCCTAGACGTTAGAGTGTCATCCTACATCGGAAGTTCAAGAGCAAAAAGATTAGTATATAAGCTCTTGAGTTGAACTAACTAATCGATTGGATTCAATCTTTTAATGTGGTTCAGCCCAAGTGTCTTATTGCCCAATCCAGTTGTCCATACCCATTCCAAATTCTATCATGGTATCAGAGCAGGTTTTGGCCCACCTCGTTTGTCAAGGTGTCCGTCTAGACGTTCATTACTAGCGACCCGTTAGTCTTTAGCCCAGTTGTCCGTATGGAGTATGTATCCAACGGCCTGTGGCCCGTTTAACACGATTGCTCGTCTAGAAGTTCATACCCAGCGGCTCGTGGTCCTTTAGGTGCTGGCGCTAAAACAAATCAAGGGAATGAGAGTTTATTTGCAAGTGGTCAATCGGTTAGATTCAAAATGGCCTGATTGTCCACTTGAGGTGGAGCGTTAGAGTGTCATCCCACATCGGAAGTTCAAGAGCAAAAAGATCAGTATATAAGCTCTGGAGTTGAACTAACTAATCAATTGGATTCAATCTTTTAATGTGGTTCAGCCCAAGTGTCTTATTGCCCAATCCAGTTGTCCATACTCATTCCAAATTCTATCACAAACACTTAAATCTTACCTAAAATATTATATTTAGGTCTTCAAAACAAATATCCATGTTTCATTTTTACCCCAAAACATTCTGTAAATTTAGTTTCATTTTTAATGTTAAATTTAGTATATACAAGAAAATATAATGAAAACAAAGAAATATTAAAGAATATTATTCAAAGGTTCTTATTTAAAAAGTTTTGGATACAAAGTTATCATGAAAAATCTTTGGGGGCCGAGATTCCATTAGGATTTGAAAGTTTAAATTACCCATTCAAAGGGCTTCATTGGGGGAGGAGTGGCCGGGGGTGGGGTAGGGGAGAGAATGAGGGTGGGTGGGGGAAATGAACTCGAGGAATTAGAATACTCAATGATTGAGTAGGAAAATTAACTTTAATCTAAAACAACTAATAGTCATTTTCTCCTCTAAGAGAAAATATTTTTCTTAAAAAATTATTTCCTACCACTTATGCAACGTAACATAACAAATTATTAGAATTTTTTTAAAAATATTTTTCTCTCAACCAAACATATCCTAAGAACTATAATCCAAAAGAACGAAACCTTAAAAAATTTAGAATTGACAAAAATTGCTAAACCACGTGCGTTGCACGGGTTAAATACTAGTTTTTTTTAAATTAGTGTCTAAAATTAATTAAATCTAAATATTGTACTTGTTTATTGAAAATGATATTCAATTCAGTCCCTCGATTAATGGCCGTTAAAACGATGTTATAACTAAGTTAAACTTTATACTATTTTCTCAAAATGATACTTTTTAACCAAGTGTTTTCTTGAATTGATCCATTTTTCAAATAAAAATACACTAATTATGGAAAAATATTCTATATACTATAGGATGACAATATAATACTTAAAACTATAAATATAATTTTAAAAATTTTAAAGTAAATGTTTTCGATTAGTTATAATTATTTAGAAGAATATCATGTAAATAAAATGTTTAATAATCGTTAAAGGAAATAACCTAAAATAGGAGTAAAAAATAAAGGAAATATCAAAAAAGAAGTTTTTCTCTATGTTTTACTCCTATTTAGGTTGATTTCTTCAACGTTTATTAAATATTTTGTTTACATGATATTCTTTTAAATAATTATAAATAATTTTAAAAGCTATTTTCAAATTTATAAAATTATAATTATTGTTTTTAATATTATATTATCATCCTAAAAATTTAAAACATTTTTCTTATTTTTATTTCACAAATAGACCAATTTGAGAAAATACTCAGTTAGAAAGTACCAGTTTTGGAAAGTACTATAAAGTTTAACATCTTTTTAACGGTATTATATTGGCCATTAGTTGGGAGGACTGAACTAAATATTATTTTCAATTATCGAGTACCATTTTGGGAACTAGTTAGTCTTAAGGACTAATTTGGGAAAAATACATAGTTATTAAGTACCATTCTAAGAATTTACTCTTTTTTATTTGAAATTTATTCTGCCTTTGTTTGGTATATGGAATTTAAATTATGAAATTCAAATAGAGGATAGCAATTCTAATTCTGATGTTCGGTAGCATAAAAATATATGGATTTAGAATTGATAATACCAAAAATGAATTAAAATTGGAGAATTCAATTCCATTCAAATCAATTTCATAAAATTTCAATTCTCAATTCAATTCCAATTTCGTTAATTCTGTACACCAAACGGACCCTCAATACACCATCTATCATCACCATACATACTTTAGGCATTCATTAATTTTTTCTATCACTAAAATTGTACTCCATATGTGGAAAAACATTTCTGTATTGAAGTACACCTAGTATTTTTGTATTTTACGTTTGTGATGTCTAATTGGTGTCAAGCTTAGGGTAAAAAATAGGTACTCGAAATTTAATTTTTTTGCCCTAGTTCATTTCTTTAATTATTCTTAACTCTTTAATTTTTTAATTCTCATAATGAATGTAGTTTAGAGATCAAAATTTATCATTTAGGGTTTGTTTAGTTGGAAAGGAGAGGAGGGAATGGAATGGATGGGAGATAATACGAAGGAATGAGAAGGATTACCTTCACCTTGTTTCGTTGTGAGGAGAAAAATGTTCTATTTTCACTTTTTAATATTTTTATTTCATTTTTAAATTTTATGGAGTATTCTTTATCTATTTTTTAAAAATACTACAAGCATTATTTATTTTATTTTTTCAATTTTACTTTTTTTAATTTTTTATTA